CTTAAAGAACTCACTTCATGGACTTAAAGAACTCACTTCATGGACTTAAAGAACCCACTTCATGGACTTAAAGAACTCACTTCATGGACTTAAAGAACTCACTTCATGGACTTAAAGAACCCACTTCATGGACTTAAAGAACCCACTTCATGGCTCAATGAGACTAACCTGTAAAAATAAAGGTTGACTGGAAGTTATTGCAGCTGCTGCCACCTGGTGGGCACTTGTGGATTCTCACCTTCAGCCTGCTCAGTTAATTAAATTAATTTGTTTTATTAAAAATTAATGAAAATGAATATTTTTTTAAATAAATAAGTATTCAGTCTGTGATAGATACTCTTTCTCAGGTTTTTACCTTTTATGTTCTTTTTAAATCGAGCTTCAGCTGATTTTAAATTACTTTAAACGGGTTTAAATTAGTTTTTTTTTTTTTATCAAATGATTTTATTTTGAATGAAATTCGGCGGGTGATATGCATTCGTTTAGGTCTAACGGATCCTTCACTGCAGCAGACGGAACTAAAAGACGGAGGGAAGGTTCCCTCCAGACTGTAAAGGCTGTTACACCGACGCTCCATGCTGTTGTTTGATGTCCGTCCCGAACGTTTCCACGTTTTTCTGCCCGCTGTGGAAACTGTAACAGGTGTGTTCATGTACAGCACGAAACCAGAACCGGACCGGACTCGGTTTAAAACGTGTGATCGTTTTGTGTTCATGTGGCTGAACAGAATCAGAACTTCCTGCAGGTTTCAGAACCTTCAGTGTTCCGACTGTTGGCTCAGGAACCACTGTTATGTATTTACTTACTAGATTAAATCTGATGAATAATTTAAATTCGGTCCAATCTGGATTATCTGATAAAATTTACGTCGGTTCCTTTTAGCTGCTAAGTTTTGTTTCAGCAGATGTTTATGTCTTAAACTGAAAAAGTTTTTTTAAGAGAACAAACGCTGAGTTGCTTAATGACTGTTGACAGCAGCTGAATGACTGCTGACAGCTGCTGAATGATTGCTGCTGTATGACTGCTTACTGCTGCTGAACGACTGCCGACACCTGCTGAACGACTGTTGACAGCTGCTGAATGACTGTTGACAGCAGCTGAATGACTGTTGCTGAATGACTGATGATAGCTGCTGAATGACTGCTGACAGCTGCTGAATGATTGCTGCTGTATGACTGCTTACTGCTGCTGAACGACTGTTGACAGCTGCTGAATGACTTTTGACAGCTGCTGAATGACTGTTGCTGAATGACT